CATAGATTTTAAAACGCTAACCTTTGTATATATAACTACGGCTGGATAAAAAATTAGGTATAAAGTCAGCTTTCTATATACATCTATCTTAAATTTCCAACCTGCTCTGCCCACCAAAACATTCAAAAAAGCAAACACACTGGCCTTATCCATAATTTCTATTCCAACAATAGTTATAGAATAAAGGTAGGCATTTCAAAATCTATGATTATACGAAGCGATAAGATTAACCGATAGAGACAATTGTAATAATGAACTGGATCAGCTAAAACGAATATTTATTGAGAACAATTATTCCCAAGGCTTGATTGAAAATAACATTGGATTAATAAAAGATACCTTTTTGAATGGTAAAGGCATAAGTAGAAATAGGGAGAACTTTTTCTACGCTTTTTCTTTGTCTTCATGCATCTTCTCTAAATGGAAAGACGAACTAGTAAGGAAGTAGCAAATAAAAACGGTTTTCAGGGCAACTAAAACACTTTTAGAAAGAAATTTGACCCATTATCCATAAAAAGTTGTTATAAAATGTGTTCAGGTCGTCGCTTTTATTTTGGTGAGACTTTTCGTTCCATTAGACAAAGGGTAGCAGGGCACATATGGGCCTATAGAAGCTGTTGGGCCAAAAAACAGAGCACAAGGCATAAACAGGACATGAAAGTAAATGGTCCCAAACTTGTTGTTTTGCTGACTATGGTATGTCTGTGGCTAAACGAAAAAGTAGAGAGACCATCGAAATAAATCAAATAGGCAATATATTGATTCTAAGGAATATCGCTAAGACGTTAAGTAAAAACTACTTGTGCATAATTAATGCACTCAATATTGGAGAGTGTTGAGCCACCTACAAATGGAGGCAATTGAATTGTGTTCTGGTTTTAATCACGATCACTTTTCTGTATAATTTAGTCCACTCTTTCTCTCTCACATGAAGGCAAAATGCTCGTCAACATAAACAGACGTATGCCCGACCGTGTGCAATCAGATTGGGGGTAAAAAAATACATAGAGAAGGGGAGATAGTGGTCATAAAACCTTGATTGCTGAGAACAGACGTTACTTTTTGTTCTAATTACTTTGAGCCATCACTGCTGGTTTCGTGCATATGCAAACACATGCAGGCGCATTCACATGCTCCGAGGTTGACATATGATTGAAACTAACCAAATCACTTTATACCCCATCAAAGAGCTCAGATACAGATTAGGGATGAGCCTGTGAGTTTTCTTGACTCATCAGCTTGAATGGTACTCTGCTCTGATGATGTGCGTCATACGACAGACGATAACTTAGCGCGTTTTCTCTAGAATCGAAAGAAATTTCTTCGAAAACAGCGTCAACTAGAAAGTTTCAGTAAGGCCAATCGACAGCTGATCAAAAGCAATCTAGCATCATCTTCTGGTGGGATCGACCTTTAAATCCCTTCACCAAACATTTTCATTTAAATTGGAAGTAAGCTCAACAAGCTTAAAATTAACTTGTGATCGTGTAGATAGGACACATTATTCACTTAATAATTTCTTATTTACAATTCAAGATTTGACGAAAAAATGCATCTATATAGAAAGTAACTAACGCTTATAACTGCTGCGAATAACTAATTCTTATATCTATCAGTTGGCCTCATGAGACGAAATAAATTCCACGATGTTATTATCATGTCGAGTGGTGTGAAAAAGTAGGGCTAATACAATAAATATTCAAAATAATGAATAGACTTTAGGTCAGTGCCCATCTAACACATAAAATTTATGTGAAACTACAGAATAACAGCTTAACTCGTTGCTTATTTCCGTGCCAAGGTAAAAATTATGATAGGTTGGATGAGGATTGGCTAGTTAGACTTAGTTTATAGTGATACAAAATTACGAATACCTTTTAATCAACTCTTTATGCGAAATTTAGGGTACCAGCATGAATCACCTAAAAAAGTTCTTTTATACTTCCCTTTACAATATGACTGGAG